GGTTCAATTTCAACTTGCGTCGATCGACGCACAACACTTGTGTCGATCGACGCAACACCCAGAACCCGACTCCTTGTGAGTCCAAACACGTGTGTCGATCGACGCACCACCAAAAATATATATTTTGGTTCACGGGCGTTACAACAAGAATATGTCTTCTACGGATCAGAAGACTACAAGGCTTATCTTGTGTGGGAAGAACTGATGGAAGAGTTATCTGTTTCTTATAGTTACACGGATCAAAGTAAATTCACCACCGCAGTTCAAAATATCAAAGGAGAAGCAAGGTATTGGTGGAATTATATCAACAAGATGCGAAGAAGCTATAAGCAAACACCCATCACTTCGTGGACTGAAATGAAGTGGCATATGAGGAGAAGATTTGCACCAGGATATTGTAACAAACCAGTTCAAAACTTTTGCCACCAAAGTCACACCAAGAGGCACAATCATGCCGCACAAGCCCACAAGCATCCGGAGCACGTAACCAACCCAAGGGCAAACGGTGCCTTGTTGTTTAAGGAGGTGAAAACAGAATCCAAACAGAGCAACATATCTACCAAGCAAGTCATGATACATCCACAAGCTGTAGCTCAAACTTCTAAGCCAAGTTCAAAGTCATTTCTTGAACTAGATAGAAAAGCCACCGAAGGTTCCTCTAATCTGATGAATTCAATTGATAAGATGAGTTATAGGTGTCACAAAGGAGGTCATTTTACATTAACATGCTCAACTAGGCATTTGTTTATTCCCAAATCATTAGAACTAAAAACAAATGACCTTAAGGAAGATGATAATCTAGTTAAAAGTGATTTTAAATTTCCAAATGCTAGTGTAATACACTTGTCTTTGTCAGTAGATGTTGAGACAGGTCTAGGTGCAATGGAGAAGCATGTGGTTGAAGAAGAGATTATGTATGCACAAGGACCAGACCTGAACCAAGAGACATTAATCGTGGAGCCCAAGTCTTATGGAGATGAAAAGCTTATCGAGGAGAACAAACTAGACCAGAAATCAACACAAGGAGATTTCAAACCCTTTCAGCTCGAATCAACCAACCAGCAGCATGACAGAGGGAGTCCTCTCGTGCTTGCTGATTAAGGAAGAGCCACCTGATGCATCCTTACGACTCCCAGCAAGCAAGGAGCAAACCATGACCCAAGGTAATCTTCTAAACCCTCAAAGAACTCGAAATACTAACTTGACTTATCACCGTGCAGATCCTACAATTTTGAGGAAAAAATTCAGTCAAGAGGGAGGGTGTGATAAGGTCATCGAACCAGTAGCTGAACCAGAGATCCAACAAGGCGAGATCTCAAACCAACTAGAAGCCAGCAAGGACATAGGTGCCTTCCAAGAAGCCTACAAGACGAACCAGAAGGATTTAAGCAACCAAACAACTTGTTCCACAAACTTAACTCATCAAAGAATCACCTCGAACTCGATTCATCTCAATATGAGTTCATATGAAGGAGATATGGCATTTTCAAGTTGGCTGTTTCCAAACATACCCGAGTTGGACTTATGCGCACTCATTGGAGGATTGCGATCAAACCAGAGGGAATTAAGCTATGAAACGAATTGTTCTGAGTCTTTGAGTCAACAGAGGACCACGACAAATTGGATTCACAAGAAGATCGGTTTTAGTTTGGAAGTTATTGATTTTCTAAACCGAATGGTTTATGACTTTCCATYTTGGGAACTTTCCAAGTTTGGCACCTTCCAGTCCTATGTTTGGCGACCAGGTGAGTCTCTATCTCAACTAGAGGTTCCCTCAAGGATCCAATACGCCCAAGATTTGATTTAAGACCCTGCCGAATCTCTTGGATCATCCGATTTCCCAAACCGGGTCCATAAGGCTCCATATATGGAAGCTTGTTGTGCTCTTGAAGATATGACCAATGCTGCAAGATGGAGACCTTCCATAGCCGTTAGAGTGTTGAATAAATCCAGAATCACGTTTCCATTCATGAGAAACCCAAGGAAGAATAAAGCTCCACTACAATTTACCATATTTGGCTATTCTCACATCAAATGCTTCCAACGGCTAGTTTTTGATCCAATGAKGCTAGGGAAGACTTTTAGAAGGTCAATGATTCATGGATTTATCACCAAGATCTCAAGATACAAGCCATCAATCCCTCCAATCATTCCAATGGCTAGTGTTGCA